TCATACTGCGAGGCAGGCACTGAGCAAACATTTTGTGTAGACTCAAGGGTATAAAGAGAATAGGCGTAGGGATGGAGCGTTATCTCTGAAGATAAATACTGAGGCGGAAACGTTGATGGTCCAAAGGCTGTTTCTTCAGTATATATCTTCTGTCTAAAAAGAATACATTACAGTTAAGACTTCATAATATAAGCCAAGAAGCTTAAAATTTCATAATAAACTCAATCATTTAAGTTTTTAGATCATTCACTTTAACACTGGATAGCACTAATTAAAAGCCAAATAAAGGAGCTAGGGTTGTGGCTCAGTGGTAGAGTGCTCGCCTAACATGTGTGAGGCCCTGAGTTTGATCCTCAGCATCACATAAAAATAAATAAATAAAATAAAGGTATTGTGTCCAACTATAACTAAAAAATAAATATTAAGAAAAACTAAATTAAAAATCTTTCTCATTTCACAAATAAAGATGCTGACCTGTTTCCATGTATTTTTCTCCATAAGCAATGTAAAGAGGAACCTGCTCCAGCAGTTTTCCACTCTCCTGCTGGCCAGTACTTGGAAACGCCTCTCTCTGCAACCCTGGTCAAAATGACTAAAAACTCACGCCCTCTGCTGAGAGGCTGCTCAATAGCCTGCAGGGCACACCCTCCTCCTGGAGCCATGGGCTCCTGCAGATCATCTTCCTCCGGTCCTTCCCTATTCCAAGTTCTCCACAACACTTGTATTTTGCTGACTATGAAGGCCAGAACACAAAGGGGACAGATTCTTGGCACTGAGGTCAGCAACCACACTCCCTACGAACAACACAGATGCCATTTCTGAAAACTGCTATTGCGTCAATTTTTTCAGCTGGTAGATTAAAGCAAAATACAGCTTATCACTGACTTAAGCACCATTAGTGTAAGACTGGAGATTTCAATTATTTTCCAAAGAAAGGTGATGCAATGACAAAATGCTAAGCAGACAAGTTACAATACAAATCACAACCTCTTTGTTCCCACATTGAAAGGTAGGAAAATCCAAGTCTAGTCATTACACATCCTATGCAGTCTTCTTGTCTCCTTGTTGGGGGCTATGAACATAGGCACCCCTTACTAGAAACCATATATGTAATCTGTTGCAAGTAGAGTCTGTGGAGTAAAAAAGGGGGTGACTGTAAGCTCTGCCTGCCACACAAGAATGAGCTTTACTATTTTCACTTCCCTTCAGTGCACATTGCTTTGTATCACGGTGTACTAATTTCATGATGTTATAATAAACTTAGATCTGGTAAGAGCTTTTATTTATAGACATTTACCTCTAATAATGAAATATTCCTACCTAAAAACCAAATAAAACCTTCTTACTGAACTTTTTCTGTTCCACAGAACGTCTGACCTATTGCTGCTTCAAACTGCATTGGAACTAGTTCTTTGTAGGAAAGAGGGAGATTCAAAGGTTTGTCCCACTACCTACATGCTCCTGTGAATTCTATGCTTGATTCTGTTCTGTGCCTCAGAAAATCTAATGGAACGGCTAGGGATGTGGCTCAGTGGAAAAGCACTTGCCTAGCATTTGTAAGGCCCTAGGTTCCACCCCCAGAACATCAAAAAGAAAAAAGGAATGAAAAGGGAAAAAGAATGAAATTCTAAAGAAGGGCAAGTGAAGGTGAAGAATCTGTTCTTCAAAAGAGGGGCATAGGTTTATATCTTTCTCAATAAAACATGTACAGAAGCCAGGCATAGCAGCTCACAACTGAGGCTGAGGCAGGAGGATGGCGAATTCCAGGCAAGCCTGAGCAACTTATTGAGACCCTTTCTCAAACACCACCAATACACGTGTGTGCACACACACATACACATGTGAACAATCATGAAGAGTGTTTTTCTTTTAGCAGCTTTCTAATTTTTTCTCTATTTCCCGTGCCTGATTCCAATCAAAATCCTCAAGCACTCTTCCTTAAAAATTGAAGGTGAAGTCATTACCTCATTCAAAACACCACCAAATGTTCCCTATTTCCTACCCAGCAAACTTAAACTTTTCTGCAGTATTATCTAGGCTTCCAATCTCTGCGAAGCAAAGTTCAGCTGTTATATATTGCTAAGCCATGTGCGAGTTCTTCTCCAAGCTGATTGGTTTTAACTAAACACATCAGCCAGTGCTCTCTGAAATTTCCAAAGTATACTGCAAGATGCTAAAAATGTTCAATCAACTCTTGCCAACTGTAGTAGTAGTTTTGAAAAATACTACTATTAAACTCAAGCCAAAAGAACTAAATGCTAATTCTGACTCCATGCAAAACACCATATACCCACCAAAGACCAACTATAGCACATTAGGTTTCAACTTTTGTCAACAATTACACCTTCTGATGTTTCTGAAATACAACAGATAAATCAATGATTTTCTTATTCATGAATTTCTTATTTCATCCTTTTGAAAATAATTCTGGAATTTATATACAGTATAAAAGGAGCATGAAGCACAGGATTTGTACATAAGCACTAGAGCTGATTCAGACCTTAAAAACAGAGATACAAATAAATCTACATAATTATGTGAAAGGTTAACACTTATTTTTCCAAAATCAGCAAAAAATGAAAGTCATTTTGCTAAATATCAAGAGAATGAATCTTGAGGAAGAAAAGGAGAATCTAAAGAAAAACATAAACATTCTTTCAATTAAAAGAATTTAAAAACCACAATTTGTAAAATTCATCTGTAGAACATATATAAAGTAAAATAATTAAAAGCAAAAGCCAGAAATTTCTTTTAAAAACCCTATTCACATAGAAGAGGCCATAGTTACTCACTCCAACCCCTTCCCTGACCAATATTTTAAAATGTTAACCCTTAAAAATAAAGAATATGTTATCTATTTGATTCTCCCTTTGCCCTTTTCTACTTACCCCTCCTTGCCATTTCTTCTTCCATCCCAGATATATGATTCCCCCCCACCAAGTACAGGGGATCAAACCCAGGGCCAAGCATCTATCACTGAACTATAGTCCCTGCCCCTAGATACATGATACAGTTACTGTATGAACTCTGAGTATGGAAGAAGGGCAGAGGCAAAGTTCCAGCTTTTATCACAGGATATAGTTAAGCTGTACAACTGGCTCAGATGTTTTTCATCTAGAGAGTATGCTCTCACCATCTGCAGAACTTTAATGTGGTAGCTGTGGCATGTATGAACATCCAATCACTGTTATGTTAAATCCATGAAATAAGCCCCTACATAAGACAAGATGTTTAGAAAATACATACTCAGTCACAGATGGTTCCTGTACAAATGGATAGTAAGTTGCTGCACAGCTAGGGAAGACACATGTTGCTGAGGACTCAGACCATGCCGCATTGAGCCCAGCAAATTTGGGGACAAAAGGTTTGACATCTGCTGACAACTTGATGCTGCCCTGTGGGAAAAGGTGGATTTGAGCTACATAACTTCTAAGAGCAACCAAATGCAAACAAACAAAAATAAAACCCAAAGAGGTACTCCATTATAACCCCACAACTGTTGTTTAAAATCTTCTGCCTAGGTCAGGTGTCATGGTGCACACCTGGTGCACTTCTAGAACCCAGCAACTCAGAATGCTGAGGCAGAAGGATGGCAAGTTTAAGGCCAGCAACTCAGTAAGACCCTTTCTTCAAAAAAAAAAAAAATGTAAAAAGGGGCTGGGGATGTCACTCAGTAGTTAAACACCTCAGATTCAATCCCTGGCGCCAAAAACAAAACAAAAAATTATGCACACTACTGTAATGGTGAATACATGTCATTTACATACTTGTTCAAATCCATAGAAGGCACACAATATCAAGGGG